TTTTTTAATTATTATTCATGTTTGTTTATTATTTGCCAGTTTGCTGGATAACTAATGTGAGCGAAGACGTATAACCAATGGTAGTGAAATGTCATATTGCCACTGAGACATCTGCAGTTAACTCCTTTTGAACTGATGTTGAGCTACTATCAGGAGTATTCTCCAAAAACTCCTAAGTCATGTTAGATAAAGTTTTTTTGCTGTTATAATATAGGCTTCTATGCTCTTGATACTCATTTTATAAAAGAGCATGTATATGTGCACATGAATATGTCAGCTTGATATCAAAGTCTCTGACATGTAAAATGCATACTTAAAAATTAGCTGCATATTGGCAGCATTGGTGATGCTGATTTTTGAAAGAAAAAAAAGAGCTTGTAAGCTAAATTTGAAATAGATTTGCAATTTAAGGTGTAAGTCTGGGTTCCTGTTATCCTTGTAATGGTAGGAGTAATGGTGGCAGCTGTGAATACTCCAAAACATTGGAGGATTCCTGCAAGCAGACTTAAAAAATCAGGGCATGCTCCTCCAGTTCACCTTCTTTCCTTCCTTCCTTTTCCTCACGTCTCCTTCCAAGGTTTAGTTACTATAGTTGCACATTTTGCATGCCAGTACTTGTATTGTTTGGACGATTTTCCTTTCCTTGATTCACTGTTTCTTTTAATTTTGGAAAAACTGAATTAACTTACAGTTGATCAGGAAATCATTAAAATTTTGAAGAAAAATTGAAATAGAAAGAGAAAGGTGCTTGGAACCTTACTGTGTGTTTATGTAAGCTTGCAGGAGTGAAAAATTACTCTGCAAATGGCTTCATGTAGAGGTGTTCATGGGAAGAATGCCGTAGTTCTGTATCTCTGTTTTTATGGATATAATCATATGTTTTTCCTCTTAGAATCCATTTATCGCCGAGGCGCCCGCCGGTGGCGAAAGCTGTATTGTGCAAATGGTCACACTTTCCAGGCCAAACGATTTAACAGGGTGAGAGTCTTGGGTACTTACAGCAGTGTAACAGAGATGTCTTTCTTGTGTACTTGTAGTGTTACTGCCTTGAAAGATTAGAAGGTAGATTTATTCTCAAGAAACTGGATTTTGCCTGGTGTACTATCAAATAACTACAACTAATCATTTTTTTCATTCAAAAAAGTATTATGAAATCACTGAAGCACTTTGCTTTGGTTATTTGCCTCTAGAAGTTTCTATTCTGTAGCATTGAGACATCTGGAAATCCTGTAGTTGCAGAAAACTTTGTCACTAATAAACTATTAGGCACTTAATAAAAAAGCTTTCAAATTACTTTACCACATACTCTGGAACTATGATACCAACTTTATAAATGCACCTTTGTACCCTGAAAATATTTTTAGAGGGCAAACTTCAATACTGGCGTTAGATTACCATGGGCTTGAAATGCACATGCAATTCTTAAGTTCTGGGAGTGAAAAAGTCTGAAAGGTGCTTAAGACACACGGACTTTTCTTTCAAACAAACTGAGATGTTTCTGTAAACAATCTGCTTACACTGGCATGTAGTCAGTTGAAAATAACAGATCACTTGCAAAGATTTTAAGAAGCAACAATCAAAACTATTTAAATAAGGATTGGGAAGAGCTTCTACTCTATTCAAACAAAATAAAACAAAATTTGAATAGCTCAGGTTCCTTCTCAGCTTCTATAGACTCTCATTCTCTCTAAGCTCATTAAATGTATTGTACACTAAATAATGCTGGAGGTGTGTGTACCAGACTTCCTCTTGAGCCTCCTTCATACCTAACTTCTAGTCTTAAACAATGCTCTGTGAAACACTTGTTGACCTCTTTTTGGTCAAAGGCTGTCAAGGCACCATCACTTATTCATTCTCCACTCTTGCTTTGTAGGCAACATGTTTCCATAATTCTTTCAAGTTGTTTTGTGAATGTTATTTATTGAGTGGTGATTTTCCCATTTCCTCTTACCTCAAACCTTTGCTGTCTCGCTTTTCTCCCAGCAAATCTAAGGGTTTATCTCTGTGGAGAGCTTCTGAGGCATGTTACAAATTAGCATGGCCGTGCAGCAGTCTGCTGATTTGACTGCACTGCTTTTGAATTGGCCAGTGCCTGGCTGGGTCCACGAGCAGCAGAAGCAGCTGGCTGTGCTTGCCTCTGTCCATGTAGCTGTGCCTTTCATGCACAAAAGTTGCTGCTTGTTGTTCAGCTCCAACTTGGGAGCTCTTCTGTGTTGCACCTGCCTTTTCTTAAGTTACAAAGTCTCTGAAGTAGAAACATTTTTAATATAATAGTAAATTATAGGAGTCTTTGTGCTATGCCATGTTGTTCAGTAATGAAAATGTGATTGAAAAATTCTTATTGTTTAGCTTTGATTTTTTTTTTTAATCAATTTTGTTGCTTTGTCATTCTAGCGAGCTCATTGTGCCATCTGCACTGACAGAATTTGGGGTCTGGGTCGCCAGGGATATAAATGCATCAACTGTAAACTCCTTGTTCACAAGAAGTGTCACAAGCTTGTCAATATTGAATGTGGCCGCCATACACTACAACCCGTAAGTAAAATTTATCTGAAAAGTTTTCTTTAAAAAAGCCCATTTTATACTAATGGCTTTCAAACTATCTGCAAGTAATTACTGTACATGAATCTTAAAGGCTTCTCATTTTGAATGGCTACTCTGACACTTTGCAAGAAAGTTTGGGAGTCACTATGCAGAATGATAAATATAGTGGCAAGATGGGAGTGTAATTCTTGCATCTGCTACTTTTTTGGTCAGAAGTAAACATAACTGATATTTCCATCATCCTTCTCTGTTATGTAGTGAATGTCTGCTATTTTACATCATCAAAGTAAAGTACAAATAAAATCTAATAACATATATTGGCTTATTAGACCATTACCCATCTTACAGAAATGGAAAATGAGGCAAAGAAGTTGAAACTTTCTTCTCCCATGAGATTCAATCATCCTCAGTCCCCAGAAAAAATCAGATGAATGCCACTTCTGAATTAATATTATTGAATATAAGGTGACTGGAAAGATATATTTTGTGAATTCATTTGACTGACATATGCACTGCTAAACTATTTAGCAGACATTGATGCCACTTGAATTTTTCTGTGTCTCATTTTTCTGTCTGCTATATTTCCCTCTCTTGTGCTAAGCTGTCATTTCAACAGTTTCTGGAAATTTGTCTAAACTTTGGGAAAAATGATAGAATAAGGACTGTAATTGTTCCTTTTAATGCATATGGATTATAACAGCATCCATATTCATTGACCAACATCAAAATTGATGAAGACTATATTCCTCAGGGATAACTTGTCTCTAACAAATTTTTCTTTCTCACTTGAACAGTCTGTCACAGAAAGATCCAATTATTAACCAATCTGTTTTGTAAAAATCATTGTTGTGCATATTTTCAGGAGCCAATAATGCCTATGGATCCATCATCAGTGCATCAAGATAATGTAGAATCAGGTAAGATCTTTTTTTTCTTTTTTTTCTTTAAGTTATTATAAGTAGTTGAAACATGAATTTGGGGATCTAAAATGAAACAGAATAATTTTAAAGCAAATACTTAGAAAATGCTTACTTTTGCTCAGAGAGGATAAAGAAACTCTGCTCCTATATTAAGGGCAGTGTAAGCATAAAAATCTTTCAGTTGTCCATAACTTGCAAATCAAGAAACTACACTAAAAATTAGGAATTTTGTTTCCAAGCTGCACTTTTTCTATCAGTTAGCTGTATGTTTTGAATGTCTCAAACACATTGATTTGCTGTGGAAAAAATAGTGGGATCTCTACTGATCGGTATCCAAGCAATTTAATTCCTGTTGCAATCAGAGTGGTATCCCCGAGATTTGAACTATTTGTAGTAACTCAAGAGGAAGGTCATAAGATACTTTCTGTGTGCAGAATTAAAATGCCTTTGAAAAGATCTCAAGGCGCAGTACTGAGTTTTTCCATGAGCAATAACTAATGGTTTTAAGACAAAAGAGCACCAATTTTTTATTCACAATAGATGCATTTCAATTGCTGCTCTCTTTGATGCAGATCTTGTGTGTGAAAATTTTAGGGCAATAGAAAAATACCCTTATGTCCAGTAAGTCTAATGATTTTTTTTTCTTGCTCCTCTAGTGATTCCATATAATCCCTCAAGTCATGAGAGTTTGGATCATGTTGGTGAGGAAAAAGAGGTAAAACACCATATAACAAACTAGTCAATATCAAGTCTGTATCTGTCCTAATTCTCAGAATTAAAAAAAAAATAAATTGTCAAAAACTGAAAGCTTGTATGTAAAACACATTTAGGTCACTAACTCGGGTATTTGCACATATGGCTTGCAAGCTGTTTTCTTTTGAATCTTAAGCTGAGATATGCTTTTGGTTCAGAACATACTGCAAAATTTTCTCTTCCTCCTCCTTCCTTTCTCCTCATATACCTTTTTGGGACAGTGCAGTTTTAATAAGTAAACAAGTGCTAATTTAATCCCTTGTTTATATTAATTTTGCTGCTGTATTTGAAATGGCAACTTTCCTTAAAAACAAACAAAATCCTGCACAGTTATTAAAATTGGCAAGTCTGCTCACTAATTCAAAATATCTTTTATCAACAGGCAATGAGCATTAGAGAAAGTGGCAAAGCTTCTTCCAGTTTGGGTCTTCAGGATTTCGATTTGCTTCGAGTTATAGGAAGAGGCAGTTATGCTAAAGTGCTGCTTGTTCGATTAAAGAAAACCGAACGCATTTATGCAATGAAAGTGGTGAAAAAAGAACTTGTCAACGATGATGAGGTAGGCAAGGTTTTTATCTACAAATTGGGCAGCTCTTTTTGAAGAGTTTCTGTACATACCACAATTGGATAGCCAGAGGCTTCTGAGTTTGCAACATTAATGGAGAGGCATGCATTATACATTCACTTTCATACAAACGCTATGCCCTGAAAGTATCATGGAAAGCCCACAAGGCTCACAGTGAATACCTCAGATTTGGTAGTCTGGTAGCTCAGGAGAGTCCTCCAGTGGTTTCTGTGATGAACCTCATGGCCTCAGCCTCTCCCGTCACTCACCTTTCATTGTCAGCACTATGTGCAGAAGTGCTCATGCAGAATTCAAGTGAGTAAGCCTGGCTTGTCTCGTTATATTGGGGCAGTAGTCCTTTTTCCCCTAGAAAAAATACAGATATGGACCTTCTATCATATGTTGAAGTTTGGCTTTTCGTCACAGAGGAGAACCTTGATGTTATTTTAATTGCTCTTTAAACCGGACCTTCATTTTAACAATTTATTTGTAGCCTATGGAGTGTTAATGTATTAGTGGAAACTTGTCAGAAATTGCAACATTTGAAAGCTAAATGTCATTTTGCTAAGTTTCTCTTATGTTTCTTTAGGCCGCTCTGAAAGGATTGAATAACTGTGGTTTGTTGTCTCAGAGCTTTCCCCTCCATTCCTAGTTTTACTGTGGATTCTTCTGGCATTTCTTGCTGTTACTTCATATTTATCTGCACCATTTATCACTTGTTATAGATAAAAATGTTAATTCCCAAGAATAGTTATGCAATTAGGCTAAAAGTTCAGGACAGTAGTGTTAGGAAGGGAAAAAAATACTAGATTATTGGTGTTGGAGAACTAATATTGAATTTATTGTAAATAATATGAGAAAGGGAAAATACTTGAAAATATTTCTGCTGTCATTAGTATTTGACCTAAGTACAATATACCTTTTCTGATTATAGCTTTTCTTAAATAAATAGGATATTGATTGGGTTCAGACAGAGAAACACGTCTTCGAACAGGCTTCAAATCATCCTTTTCTTGTTGGACTACACTCTTGCTTCCAGACAGAAAGCAGGTAAAGGTCAGAAGATAATAAGAAAATACTCTTATTCAAAAAATGTTTGATACTACTAGGCACTTCAAAAACCTGTTTAAATCCTTTTAAGTACTGCCTAGGTATTAAAAGTAAATGTGCTGTCAATCGCTACCACATTTTGAGCAAAAGACCTTGTTCATCATGTGTTCATCATGTTTCAGATTAGGGAGGTAAAGGACAGTGTGAAGTACTGGTAGTGGTGAAGAGAAGGATCCTATAAGGAGGGGGAGTTGCAGCTAGCGAAAGAAAAGAGGCTTGAAAGAAATAGAAAACCTAGAATGGAAGAAGACACCATGAGGAAGTGTGGGGGTTTTTTGTTTGTTTGTTTTTTTGTTTATTTAGGGGAAGAAAAAAAAAAGAGGAATCTGATCTGAAAGTTGCATAGATTCTGTGCAGGTGAGGAAGCATCAGAAGCACACAGCAAGCATCAGAAAATGGTGCCTGAATTTTAAAATGAAAAGTGGTATAATAGAGATGAAAGTACTGATTTTTTTGTATGTTTATACAGAGAGAATATTATAGATGAAAAATGCACTATTCTATACAGTGATAGTCCTCAGTATAAACAAAATATATATTTATTATATATATATATAAATATATCCTATATTTAAATTATTTAAACAATTGTCCTTGCTGTTTAAAAGATGACAAGCTGGTGTTGGGAAGTGAGGGGAGAGGATGTTTGTAAGATATTAACAGTAATAGTCATGAACAAAACAGAGGGGATCACGAAAAAAGGAAAATGGGGGTTATTGTATTTTGATGTATGCATACAAAAATGGTGTGAATGCCTTTGTATATTTACATGAAGTATAATGATAAGCATTAATTATAATGAATTAGAAATGTGGGAAAGATGACTTGCAATTTCTTTTGCAGTAAAGGAATTATCTAGAGAAACTTGGTGCACTTGATTCTTAACTTTGGGTGTTTATTGAAGGGAAGGGGGAATGGAAAAGCCAGCCTTATTACTGGAGAGATGGGAGGAGTAAGTGTGACATTGTTCCATAGTAGATGGGGAACGTATTAAACCTGGGGACAATAACGAAGCCTTTCAGCTCTGTATACAGCCATTTGGAACAAGCTTTTGTGTGTTTCAGGCTGTTCTTTGTTATAGAATATGTAAATGGAGGAGATCTAATGTTTCACATGCAGAGACAGAGAAAACTGCCCGAGGAGCATGCCAGGTATGTTTCATTTCAGTTTCTTGCATCAAAACAGTTGTTTTTTTTCTGACACAGTGCAGTAATGCAGAGATTATGGTAAGGAGCTAGCAAATCCTGTCCAGATGTTGCGGATTTAAGAAATGTGAAACTGCATCCTCATTTTGATGATGCAAGCTACAATGCTTTTGTTTTGAGAAAGAATGTTAATAGGAAGCACTTCAGAATTGTTTGTATTAGCATTACCCTAGATGACTTCAGCCTGGTGCAGAATATTTTTCTTAGAAAAGTGTTTACGTTGTTAAAAGATACCATTAAACTTGTTTCTTTTGCAACAACCAATACCAGCTGTCTAGACAAATGTTGAGTTCTTGCTGCATATGCTTCATCTCAGATGGTGAGATGAAAGGGGTGATTTCAGTAGGAATTAAGATTAATTTAAAATGTTTTTGAAATGTCTATGGGTAGACACTTCTGCATGATTATGGGCAAATTATCAATTTTCCTGGTGAAAAATAATGATTGAACATGAGGTCCTATTTAGAGAACTATCATACTACCAAGACTTTATTTGGTTTGTTGCTTTTATTGTTTGTTTTTTGTTTTGTTTTCTTGAATGACTGGGGGGTTTGAGTAATTAATATATTTCTCTATTCTAGGTTTTATTCTGCTGAAATCAGTCTAGCATTGAACTATTTACATGAACGAGGGATAATCTACAGAGATTTAAAACTGGATAATGTGCTACTAGATTCTGAAGGACATATTAAACTCACAGATTATGGCATGTGCAAGGTAAGCTGTGGTTCCTTCCCAACCTAAAATCAACAATTAAGAAATTGTCATAAATTATAGCATGCAGAGATTTAAAGTGAAATTTCAAGTTGTCTGTTTTTACGTAGTCCAGATAGCTCTGCAATGAGTATAGGACTAGTTGTCTGTTTTTACGTAGTCCAGATAAGTCTTATACTCATTGCAGAGCTATGAATGACAGGAAAGGAAGAAAAATGAGAGAGTGACATCAGACTGTTCAAACTGTGTATAAATACTGTTTATGGTTATGCAAAAAATCTGTGTTACCACAACTTGACCAAAAAGGGTAGACTGAAATAATCAAGAAAGAGGTTTGGTTTAAAAATTAGCAAGAGATTGAATTATGTCAGTGACTATGACTGTGACCTACTTCTGTGTAATCTCTGAGAGCAACTCGCATGGCCTAGCCTGGAGTTTGGAATAGTTTTGCTGTGTGGTTGCCCTGGCAGAAAGGGGAGGCAAATGTAGACTATAAAGAGGAGAATGGAGTGTTGGTGTAACTGACTTTTTCCCTCCTTTGGAAAACTGTAATTGTGGTTTGTTTTTCATCTAAAGACCACAGCAGATTGCAATAGATTTGTACACAGCTCATTGTATTGAATTGTCTTCCTTGGCTATTTCTTTGAGCTCATTGGGTATTTTTGTTAAAGCACTTAATAAGAGGTTTTAGTGGTTTAAATTCATTAAGAGATTGAACAAGTTCTCATCTGAAGAGATGCAGGACAAATGTGGACAGGATAATGATGCTCTATGCATGTATTTCTCCTGAAAGCAGTAGTGTTTAATATTCAGTTACAAAGAGATTTATGTATAAATTTACTGAATTAAAAGCAGGACATTTAAATTAATACAAAATGCAGCTCTTAGCAGAGGAGGAGAGCGGAATTTCTTGCTAACTGTAAAGTGTTTATTTTCTCTGTCCTTTTTTTAAAGGAAGGGTTGAGGCCTGGAGACACAACCAGCACATTCTGTGGGACTCCAAACTATATTGCTCCTGAAATTCTCCGGGGAGAGGATTATGGTAATTAGAATTTCTCAATGCTGCTGTATGACCTCCTGTCTGTCTTGTAAATTCCTACTTCAGTTGCTTAATAGTAGTAGAGGCTATAATTCTCCATTACATAGGTAAGCTATGTAGTTCAACGTCCTGTCTCAAAAAGTAAATAAACACTTCAAAGGTAGGGCAGGAAACATCTTGCCAAGCAAATGAGATAATTGCCTTTCATGTTTTAACTTGCTTTTATCAACTTGCTTTAGTCTTGCAGAAGAGCATGAGTCTTCCAAAATTTGTTATTTATTATATCATCATTATTTTAGATTTTAAGATAGCAAGTATATCATTATGATTGCTTTTGGACTTTAATGTTTGACTGCTCTGATAGGAAAAATAGATATGTTAATAGATAAGAGATATATTATCTATCAATATAAGCATTGCAGAGAAATGAAATAATGGACATTCCTTGTACAAACTTCAGTGTTAAAAGTGTAACTTTCCATGCAGTTTCTAGTTTAAATTGAATGCCTGACTGGCTTAACATCATCTTCCTTCTTTATCACAAACTTCCCAGGCTAAGCACACTGCATCACTAGCTACTGGAATCTTTCTCTTTGATCGTGAATAGTAGAATAGCCAGACAAAGCTGTACAAATGTCTGTCTACTTAATATCGAGAATTACCTTCTTCCCTGTTGTCCTCTGCCCCAGATAATGTAATATTAGGATTGATTTGGCTTAAACACATTATCTAAGCCTCTCTTAAGACTGTAACACCAATCTTTCAACTTTGCATTTCCTTCTTTTGTGCAACATACAATCCCATCCTGTAGCCAACACAATGAATCAAGTAATACCTATTATAATTGCTACCCTTGCTTTATTCAGTAGTCAGTAGTGAAGCAATTATTCTTGAAACGTGTCTTGCTTTAATCAGCCCTAAGTGTTTTCCTCTGAAAGTGTTTTACCCTAAAATGTTTTCAGCAGTGTTTTGTCTTTTGCTTTCTAGGCTTCAGTGTAGACTGGTGGGCACTGGGTGTACTCATGTTTGAAATGATGGCAGGCAGGTCACCATTTGATATTGTTGGAAGCTCCGATAATCCTGATCAGAACACAGAAGACTATCTTTTTCAAGGTAAGAAGCAGAGAGTGATTACACTGGTTTAATGCTTTGTTTGATCTAAATTCAGCTGTGCGGAGTCTGACACGAAGCTTGTTTTCTTGCAGTCATCTTAGAAAAACAGATACGAATTCCTCGATCTCTTTCTGTTAAAGCAGCAGGTGTTCTAAAGAGTTTCCTGAATAAGGTAAGGGCTCGTGCAGACTGTTTGAGATCTCAAGATATTTTTAAATCTGTTGTTTAATACTATATACTTTATTTGCTGTCCACAGAAGCTGTAGGAAAGGTGTGAGTCTAAAACAAAATTTTATGGGGCACAGGAGGAGGGCCTAGTATAGATAACTGTCTTAAAACCTGAAAAAAAAATAGACTTAGTCTGGCGTGAGGTGAAATAAAATGGCTTAGAAATGTTCCCTTGTCCTGAACAGTTTGTCCAATTCCCCAGGTAAAGTTTATCAATCTTTCTGAACTACAGACGTCGTAGAGGTACTTAATGTGAAATAAAAATGAAATCATTTTAAACAACAGATTAACTACGTAGTTCTATTTAAAAAAACAAAACACTTTTTTCTGGGATGTTACCGACGTCGTAGAGGTACTTAATGTGAAATGAAAATGAAATCATTTTAACGACGTAGTTCTATTTAAAAAAAACAAAACACTTTTTTTTCTGGGATGTTACTATTGTTTATTCTTACTGGTGTGCTGCTTATTTATCATCTTAAAAAACTAAGGAAGCTCTGTTTCACTTGCATGAGGGGCTTGCCATTGTTGCCTTCTTGAAGTTGCTTATTTTCCTTCTTTCTTCTGATACTGATGGCTGTTGTGTTACAGTCTCCTAGGAAAGAAGTCTTGCTTAAAATAATCTTCTCTAAACTGTATGTTCCAGTAGCCTGCAGTTACTATTCTGAGATTGCTGGTATAGTCAGACAGCCTGTTTAGGAGGGTGAAGAAAGAGGCAGATCTAAGCAGGATTCCCCTGAAACTCACAGGGTGTTTAAGCAGATCTGAAAAAGAAAATGAGGATGAGATGATTGTTTATCTATAATTCAATTATAGACTTCTGTATTTTCCTGTCTCTTTCCGAAGACAAATTGGAGCAGTTTCCAAAATAATCATAACTTGCTTACAAGGTGCACTGAAGAATTCTTGTGTTCCATTTCTCATGGAATTTGAAACATTTATGTTTTATTGTTGTGTAGGCCTTGGCACCCATTTAGATATTTTTTCTTTGCACAGGATCCAAAGGAGCGTTTAGGCTGCCACCCTCAGACAGGATTTGCAGATATTCAGGGACATCCATTTTTTCGCAACGTTGATTGGGATTTGGTATGTGAATTCCTACTGGTTTATTCTTTCATATACCGTGACAGTGTGCCAGTTTGTAAGCTGAGGAATGACAGCAAAAAACCACAAGCCCTCAGCTTCTAAATGCTTTATTACAGTGCTAATGCAGAATATTTTAACCCCTTTTACATAAAGTAAGTAAAATAGGTAAATAGAATGTTTGTAAAAAAGTACACAAAAAATGAACAGTTAATTCCTGCCTTGTTTGAAAATAATTAAGTTGTAACCCAGTCTTGGTGTCACTAAATGTCTTTTTAGATGGAGCAAAAGCAAGTGGTTCCTCCGTTTAAACCAAATATATCTGGAGAATTTGGTCTGGATAACTTTGATTCCCAATTCACCAATGAACCTGTGCAGCTCACTCCAGATGATGAGTAAGTAATGCAGAATTTAAGCAGATAATGTGTTTAATAAGTCAGTGGAGAAGTTGCAAGACATCATTTGAATACATCTGTTTATAGTTCAGAGTTTATGTAAAGAAGTAAATAACATTTTATCATTGTTAGTTTGGAATATTCCATCCTGTGATCTCAAGATAGACTGAGTATAGACTGCTTAAATATACTGTGGCATGATATAAAAATCAGCTAACAGTGGAGAAGCTGCTATAAAGAATTTGAGTTCAAGGAAGGATGAATAAGTGCTATTTTGCAAGTTTTATTGGTATCATCTGCAAGTAACAGATGTGTGAAAGAAAAGACCTGTTTTGCCATGTGGCTTTCTTCTGCACTACTTTAAATCATGACATTTCTAGAATGTGAAGTTCACATTGAATTTTTCTTGGGTGTTTTGTACAAGAAAGATGCTTTTTGGGGGGTGCGTAGGAGGGGCTTGCCCAGGTATTTTAATTAGTACTAATTAGAGAAAGGTTGTCCTGATTAAAAAAGGTTGATAGGATGCAAGATAATGCATTGTGATTCTGGCAGTGGAGTTGGGGCTGCCCTCGCCATGATTTGGGATGGGAGCGAAACGAACTCTCTAGTTTGACTGAACCCCTCTTGTATATATTTAGGATTTCTTCAAGGTTCTGTATAATGTATGTATAATGCAGAAACAGGAACAGTGAATAGTAAATGTTCATTGTGAGCTTTATTTAGGTCTGAGATCTGGTCCCCTTCATCCCTTTGTAAATGTACAATATTTCAGCAGAAGTTAAAGAAACGCTAATCGAAGAGTAGTATCACATCCTATTTTTTAATCTTTTACAAAAATGAAAAGTTCTACAAACTTTAGGATGCTTTGTGCAGACAACGCAGACATGGGAGTAAGCAAATCATTGCTTGTGAGTGGTTTTGTGTTTTGTTACCTGTATCGAGGCTAGAAAAAAATAGCAGTATTTGAAAGGAAGCAGAGGGACAGATGGGCACAAGAGAAGGGAAATTTCTCAGTTACAATTGACTATAGAGGTCTAAATTTTAAGACAAACTATCAGTTAATATTGCTTCATTTTAATATTGATGAGCTAACTTTTTTTTTTTTAATCTTAATAGTGATATTGTGAAGAAGATTGACCAGTCTGAATTTGAAGGCTTTGAATATATAAATCCTCTTTTGATGTCAGCTGAGGAATGTGTCTGAATTACCCATTTCTGGACTGTGCCAATTGCTACCGTTTGTTTCTGCATGGATAAATATCTCTTCATTTGATGCAGTTGCATAAAATGAATAACTAAATATCTTTCTCTTGCCACTTAGTGTGGATTACTCATTATTTTCTTTTGGTATTAATTGTCATCCTGAACAGTTGTTATTTTGAACCTTGGGCTGCCAGAAGGTGAAATCTGCAAATTTCCCAATAGTCTTGCCAAACTTGAATTTTAATATAGAAGTTTATCTGTAGGATTCCTGACTGAACAAGGGGTCTGGCTGTATAATTAGCCAGTGCAGCATTCTGTTAAAGGAAACTCTTCTTACTGCTTTAAGAATACAAATTGCATTAGGGAACATACTAAATATTCCTAAAGGGCTTCTATTTTTTGCAGCAAGACAGATAAGACCTCATGACTTTGGTAGTGCTAAATCTGTCCTATCTGAACATCTGATTTCTGTGTTCTCCTTTGACTCCAGAAGTTACAGGTAAATTATTGCCCTTTAGATTTAAATGATAGTAAGGAGAACTTTTTTTTTTTTTTTTAAACTCCATAGGTCAAGAATGACTGTCTTCATAGTGTGTATTGATTCTATCTGAAAAGGAGATGATTAACTCAATGATAGAATGAGTAGGTTTTGCTACTGAATTACACACTATGAATTGTACGTGGCTTTTGACATTTGAACAGCGAGTGCCTTTCTGAGCCTGTCCCTTTCAGCAAGGGTTGTACGTGGTGTAAAGTGTCAGTTTAAATGGAATTCAATTAATACTTTTTAAAATTAAAATCTGTAGAGTGTAAATTAGCAGAAATTGGCAGCTAATTTTGAAGAATGTAGGACCTCATGCTATTATTTATTGCTTTTACATTTTCTGTCTTACTGTATGGGTATGTTACAGCTATGGTCTAGATAAGGGCATTGTTTCCTATTATCTTATTGCCATACTGCTGGCAAGGCATCCCACTTTGCCAGTGGGAAAAGCACATCTGGAAAAAAATAGGTGCTGTCCACAATGACTCCCTTAACTTTTTCCTTTATATATAGTAACTTGTAATCACAGTCAAACCTTAAATATTGGTAGTAAACTCAAAGTTAGTAATAAAGCAGTTGGTTGGAGTAAATAGAACAATTCAAAATAGGAGGTAAGGGTGGAGTGATTCTTACATTTCATATTGGTAAGCAGTGTAATATACAGCACAACTAATTCTTATTTTTAATGTTTGAGGAATACTTTTGAATGTCGTAGACTGGAGAAATGCCAAATGTACCACTTTTCTGCGGGGAGGGAGGGATTTAAAAGACACTAAAGAAAATCTGTATTACATAATGAAAAGTTGTAAGGTAAGATACCTATTAGTGAAAACGAATTTAACTGTATGTAAACACTAGTTAGAAAACTTTAGATAAAGCTTTTAATAAGATTTTTGCTTGGTCAGTGTCTTTCCTTGAAAATACATGGTGAAACTATATTTATAGCAGATCTTTTTTTTTTTCTTTATTTCTTTTTTTCTTTTGATTTATATATTGGTGATACTTTGCAGTATGATATAAGTAGCAAATTCTTCTAAAAGTATTAGGCCAAATTTCAAAACAGGGGAGTGATTGGAGGTGCCTCTATTCTAGGGGAGCTTTGATCCTCCACACTGTTGACAATCAGATTCCCATAGACACTTCAAATTATGAATTTTCAGACATAAAGTAGTGGAGTAAAACCTACATTTAAAGAGCAACTAATGACTAACACTTAGTTCCTGTGAAATGAACTTGCATGCAGTTTTTAAACTGTGGTTAACACTGAAGTGCTTAGCCTTTGACTTCCGCCCACATGGTTTAGGCTTCAGGATTTCACTGAACTTCGAAGCTACTTAAAAAATCCCTCTCTACAATGGCTTAATTTCATATGGATTATTTAATAAACTGACTTTATAGAGGGAAGTGCATTTCTGCTGTTCATCACAAAAGTATAATACATTGTCTTCTGTGCTTAAAGCAAAAATTATTTTTATAGTGTTTCAAAAAAACACCTTTATTTATGTTTCTAACCATTAAGAATGTTGCTGAGTTAACAACGATAGGCATGTTAAATGACTTAGCCCATGTAAAAACCCTTTTTTCATTTTCTCCAAAGTGCCATGATGTTAACAGGTATATCTCAGTGTTGAACATAGAGCAGCTGTCAAATACTCAGAAGGGAAACTGGATGTAAACCGTCAAGTGTGGTAGGTTTTGTCTTTGCAGAAAGTGTCTGCATCAGAAGCCTGATGTGTCTATGTGGAGTAACCTCCTTTTTATGTATGAACTTGGTTCTTATGGGTGCTCTGCTAGTAAATAGTGTTGCTACTATTTTCCCATCTCACGTGGAATGTGGTCTTCAACATTGTGTAATCACTCCTTTTATTTGTGCACACTTTTTACTTTAAATAAAACATTTATATTAGGCCTCTGTGTATTAACCTCAGGAAAAAAAATGCTGTGAAATGCTTGAATTTGCTTGGGGTAACTTGGATGGCCCTTATCTCCAGCTCCCACAGAGTGTTGTTTAATCTTACCAGTGGCTTTCAGGGTGTGATTCTACTTTCCTTTATTTGTTTTGTTTTCCTCGAAGAGACAGTGCTGCTCGTCCCCCACAACCCAAGCAAGGCAGCCTCCAGTCTGGGGTTCCCACACAGGCCTCAGAGTGCAAGTCCCTCTCTAACACACTTGGGCCAGCCCCATTTCATCTTTCTCCACAAAGAGGAAACAGCACTGCAGGTTTTCAATTGATTCAGCTTTCCTTCCAACACCAGTGTTGAAACAGAGCCAACTTAGTGAGGTTTTCAGGAGCTGTGTGGATGCAAACAGCTTCAAGCAGAATATGAAATGAAACTCTGGCTTCTTTGTCCAAAGATGTTTTAGGTGGAACTTCCAAGATGTCATCTCACCTGTGAGAGTGGAGCTTGGGAGTTTACAGCCCCATTGCAGCTGCTGTATTTATTTCTGTGTGGTTTCCCTTTGTTTCTCTAATTCCTCCTCCATATTCTTCCAGATTTATGACACAGAGGGCAAGGGCACTTGCCCAATACCGTTACACATACAGTATTTTAATATCTGTACCTCTGTATTCTAAAAGAGATTTCTTTTGAAAGCTGGCTTGTTACTAGAAGTATGTATCAGCATTCTTAGATAAATGCTACAGATGGTTGCAGGTTTTAATTACCTAACTTCTATACACACATTTCTTGTTCTTTGGTTTGGTGGCCAACTGTTCTTTGTTCAGTCTGAACAGTTGTTTATATTAAGACTCTTTAATTTAAAAAAAAAAAAAAACTCTGTATATATATGGTAACTTAATTACTAATCTTGCATTTTCATTTTGATAGTCTTCATGATGTCTAGGCAAGACAGATACCTGAAATTACCTACAAATAAATGCTGTTCTCTGGAGAAGAGTGAGTGAAGGATTGGATCCCCTTTCAGTAGAGGGGAATTTCAGCAAATCTTGTATTGTCTTGGAAGGCCTCAAGCATTTTTAAGGCTTTTTTTCTCCTGCTTATGTTTTAGAGTAATCCAAACTGCACACTTGAGACATGTGGTCTTGTCAATATGCAACCACCAAAGATGGGAGACAGAGAAGGCCTCTCTGTGGCTTTTGTGGGAAGGGGGCTTGTTCAGTTGTAAATACAACCAGAAGTCTGAGCATCTGTATTTGACTCTTAAGCTTGTCGAAGGGTCTGAGCTTGTATCACTTTTTAAATTGATTTTCCAAACATCTAGCGAAACATGTGAATTCTGCAAAATTTTAGATGTAAAAACTTAAGTCATATTCTCATTCTTCATTGGATGCAGTGTTTTGTACATAACTATTCCATAATGTGTCTTGTAAGTCTAACTTTTTGTAGCAAGTTCTTTAATAAGGTATCTATAATACATCATATCTACGTTGCTTAGTCTGTCATAGGATGTGTCACAAATATATCAAGACTGATCTTCAATATTGTAAGCTAAAATTAATAATTGCTGCAAAAATGGCTTATTTTTGCATAAAATGTGTTATGCTACTGTCTTTCAGGAAGAAAACATTTTTTTTGTCCTTTGGACAGTGTTAAATTGCACTGTATTAATTTTAGGGTGGCATGTATGGAAAGAAACATTAAAACCCTTTATTCCCCTTTCTACAAAAAAACCCATAAAAGTGTGACAAAATTCTTTACACATTTAGCAGTTTGACAACAAGTTAGTATCTGTGTTAACCGGTTCAACTCAAAGATCATTTTATTTTAAGTTTTAATATGTTATTTGGCACTTCATTTTATATGCAGTAGTTGAAAGGATTTTTTTAATTTGCACTTAGAAATGCAGATTAGTTTGTCTCACTTGCCTTCCTAGTGTGCGAGTAGAAGAGGTATCACCCCCAGAGACTGTCAAAGGTGGCCTGCAAGGAATTCAGGGGGCTTGCATCAGGGAAGAGCAGCACTCTAACACCTTTGCTCTAGGATATTTTGGAGCATGGATTTTCCAGTATGTTCTACTTACTATTGTTTTAGAAATATATGAAATTATACATTTCTTGGGGAATCAGTTGGTTTCTTATATCTTTTATTATTGCTATATCTTTTTGATTTTCACTGGAAATGAAACTTTTGTGGTCACTTCTTAGTTGTCAAGTTTAAAATAAGATCTTTTTATCTTTTAAAATAATAATCTTCTCTTCCTTGGACCTGGAAGAGTAAAGACAGAAACTCTGTAGGGTTTGCTTTGCTTTTAAAGCTAGGCTGTTTAAATAAAACAGCTAAATGTGAGTTATGCAGTAAGACAACCTTAAATGTTAGTTTAATCAGATTCCAAAAAACTTGAGCGCTTCTTGAAACTCCAGAAAGGTTAGTAATAAAAGTAAAATCCCTCCCAGGCTCTGTTAGTGCAATTTATTAAGTACTAAAAAGATCTGTAGTGAAGGTTTTAGTTTAGTTACCTTGTAGCAGAGGTACCAAATGCTTTTCACAGTCAACCTTCAAGGTTTGAGGTAGAGCTTGCATGTGTTTTATCCTCTGCCTACTGTCTTAGGCTGCATGATTGCTGTAACCCTGTATCCAGCACCTTTGTTAAACACAGAAGCTACCAAAATATGCATCTCGAAATGAAAAATGAAGATTTTTGCGAAACTCAAATTAAACAAGGACTTCTAATTCCTAAGTTTATGTGCCATGGTTATGTTGAATACCCACTTACAAATGTTGCCTGACTTGCATTTCAATGGTTGGCTATTTGGGAGGAAATTTTTCATCAAACCCTAAACTGTTACAGGACAGAAAAGAGACAGGAATGTCCAGATTGATTAGATAATAGAATGACTGGCCAATGTTTTTCAAGATAAGTGTCCCAAACTGGTAGATTCAGTAATCTTTTTATTCCACTATAATGCTGTGGCTATTAAGCTCCGAATATATATTTAATAAGCAAGTATAGAGTGTTTTCTGTTCTTCCAGAATAGATGTATATTTCCGTAACATTATTTACTGCCCTGGCTTCAGATATTTTTATTGTAGACAAATAGAGTTAAATATAATTTAAACAAAGGCAACTGAGGTAGACCATAAATGCACTCTAGCACTTCCTACACCACTTTCCCTCAGTCTCAGTCACATCCTTCTTGCCCTGTGTAAAAGGAGTTTGTGTTTTCATGCAAGGCTAGCAACTGTGCTCCTGCACTGTACTGCTTTGCAGCTTGCACTGCTTAACTGTAAATGGAGAAAAACTTAAGCCTCTATAAAATTGTTACAGGAAAAAGTCTCCTCTTTTTTTTTTTTTTTCTTTGAACGGCTGCAGAAACTTGTGTTTGATAGAGCAGCTAAAAGACAAGATGATGCTTGCATAGTTCTATGTAATTCTGTTTTGCTGCAGGCTAGAGAACAGCATTTAAAAATGTATGAGGGTAGTACTGCACATTACTGCACACTGTTAGAATTCACTTAAATCTGGTTATAACACTTGCCTACTATGGAAAGTAAAAAAAAAGACCAGATAAAAGCTGCACGTTGAGGTGGCATGACCTGTGTTTGTGAACCACAGGGTGCTGCTAGATCAGATGAACCTCACTCAGATGCAAAGATGAACCAAGGCTTATGGTCCTGCATCCATGGAACTTGGACTTAAAATGCGTAGGTTCTGTTTGGAGTGAATCTCGGGTGCTTGAACAGTATTGAGATATCAATCTTGGTCATTTTTGGCTCATAAAATGCAATGGTGCATAAGCCTCTGATTGTGCTTTTGAAGCTATAGAATTCAGCTGTGCTTCTGCTGCTACTGCTGAGTTGCAGAGGAAGTCTGGCAAAAAGAGCTAAAAATAGTAGGGTAAACATAAGTAAGGAGGAATGTACTCCCCATAATGATGGTAGTTAATATGATAAATGCTCCCTGAAGTGCAGCTGAGTCAATCTCTAGTGGCTTATAATAAAAGTAGAGAAGCAAGAAGAGGGTAGAAGAGGACAAAAAGGGGAGTACAAAAGGGACCAAAAAAAAAGTTTATCCAATACTTGTGTTCTTCTCAAAGGTTAAATTTTGGTTGCGATTTTTGGAAAGCTTTTATCTTTGGCATATGTGGAATGGCAAGAATTTATGCCTTCCTTCTCTTTTTTCCCTATGAAAAGGCAAGTTGTGTTTTCCTACGTGTGCATTTCACTGTTTCAAGCAACTGAGACAGGAAAAGAGTGCTTTTAATTTCAAGTAATGGGGAGGTCTACATGCTTCAGCCAAAGCAAGGCTTCCTTCGGAACCCCTTTGTTTGATGGAAAGCCTCCCTTCTGCCCCAAAAACTGCAATATGGCAGCAACCAGACAAGGACTTGGGGGATGACACCTCCTGCTGGATGTAAGAATCGAGGAAGAATCGAACTCTTCCAGATTTATGCTTCTTCCATTTTTACCTGAATTCTTCGATAAGAGAAGGGTCTAGTGCTTTTTCCAGATGTGGGAAAATAAATGCACCCGTTGCTGTCTTTGCGCTCACAGAATTAACACTGAATTACCACGGTTCCCTACGCCCTCCTCCCCCGTTTCGACCGTAGCCCCGTCGTGTTTGTCACTGTGAGGTCTCACGGGTCTTGCAGGGCGCTGCCTCCCCCTGCGGCCGTCTTCGATAAGAGAAGGGTCTAGTGCTTTTTCCAGATGTGGGAAAATAAATGCACCCGTTGCTGTCTTTGCGCTCACAGAATTAACACTGAATTACCACGGTTCCCTACGCCCTCCTCCCCCGTTTCGACCGTAGCCCCGTCGTGTTTGTCACTGTGAGGTCTCACGGGTCTTGCAGGGCGCTGCCTCCCCCTGCGGCCGTGACCGCCGAGCAGGGAGGGCAGAACGG